TTTTAATGTTTAACTATTATTGTTACTGTTGTTATTCTTACTGCTGCTATTGCTATTGTTGTTTTGCCTTCCATTATTCTTGTTGTAAGCAGCCTCCCCTTGAATTTGTTGATTGGGGTAGCTGCAATACGAGCTGATGTTGATGCTTCTGTGGCCAGCAATGGTTCGGCATTACTTCAAATGGAGGCGGCAGACGCAATTGTGGCTTTAAGGAGCAAACGGAAGAAGGCACTGTATTACCAGACCTTGCAGATTCTGGCAGTGAATGTTCAGTTGAGGTATGTGAAGACGGAGAGGAGGCTTTAAATGCGTATGAATGCGAAGAATTCGAACCGGGTATGGACATTAATATTCTCATTCAACAAACTGTGCAGAACGTTGTACAAAGCGTCAGTTTGGAGGATTATGATGGCCTTTCGCGGTTTGGTGACTATGAATTAATATGCTTTAGCGCTGCATTGAAGAACAACAGTTCTATTCTCTCACTTCAAATAAGATACCTTGACGTTTCGGACACATCACTTGTTCCACTATGTCGGGCACTGGAGGTTCATCCATGTATTCGTGCATTGGACCTTTCTGGCACACGTGGTGGAAATGTCAGCATCAAGGCTGTATTTCGTCTGGTTTGCAGAAACCCAAGCATTCTTTTTGTTCGGTTAGACGACACAATGGTATGCCCTCAGGATGCTGAGGATGTGGTTCTTTCTTTTATCTATACTTCTACCTTCTCCTACTAGTAAAATTCCGTTTTTTTTTTTTTGTAACTTATAATGGCTCTGCCGTTTGCAGGTTGGATGAGTCCCTATAAACTGATTTAAACCAATATGTCAATAGTTTTAACATTTGTTGTGGATTTTGGGACTGGTATTTTGTTTTATTTAATACATCTCTCCTAGTGTAGCTCTTTCTATCTCCCCCCTCTCTAAAACTTGTTTATTCTTGGTGTTTTCCTCTGTTTCTTTGGTTATGTCTTTGGTTGGTTTTATTTTCTCTTTATCAATGAGCATTCGTTTCCCTATTATGAACTCTTCCCCCTTTACCACGTTTAAGATGTTACTGGTTTCCTGGTGTGGGCTCTTTGCTTTTGTTTTAACTAGGGTGAGAAAATGAACACATGGGAGTGGCAAGAAACTTTTTTTGGGTCAGTAATTAGAGCTGACTACGCTGTTGGGAGCAATCACTTTGCGTAGGTAGAAAGAAAGGGTCTTGGTAGCTTTTTTTCCTGACGGTTTGTAGTGATATCAGACCCAGACTGCAGGTATTTTTCTCTATTTTCTAGGTCTTTGCCCTCCAAGAACAATCCTAGGATAAGGGACAGTTATACCATTTGCCACACGATATAGAAGACTCTTCTTTTTCTTGCTTTCTTTAGTGTTGGAAATATGTTTCTAGTGTCTTTCTCTTCGTGTCGTAGGACAAGGGTTTGTTGGTCTAATTTTGACCGGATTTTTCTTTCTTGGTGTTTTGGGGTGTGGTGAGAAAAATGTTTTTTTTTTTTTTTGTATTATTACATTTTGCTGCCCTGGTTTTTCTCGTATGTGTATTTTTCATATATCTAAACCTGAATGTGAAGGAAGGATGGGATATTTCTTTTTTCTTTTTTTTCCTTTGCTGTATTTATTGGCATTTAGGTCAAAGGACAAGGCAACTCGGAGGTTCGTATTCTAAATTTTTATATTCTAACAAGATTCCCAAGGCACACGCATAATGTCAGGATCAGTGGATAAGAAGACCGGCTGTAGGGTAACGTATATTTGGCTTTCTGGAAGGGATTCTCATCATGATATCCGAAGCAAAGACCGGACGATGTATTTAACAGATGAGGAACTGAAGAAACACCCCAAGGATCTTCTTGCTGAAGGGTTTTTTCCCTTGTGGAATTTTGATGGCTCGTCGACAAACCAAGCCCACGGCGCCGATACAGAAATCATTCTGAAGCCCGTTAATGCATACCATTGCTGTCTTCCGCGACCCACGACGACTGTGCCACGGATTCTTGTGCTGGCTGAGTGTCATCTCCCATCTGGAGAACCAACAAGAGATAACTCGCGTGCCATGGCTCGCCTTATATTTGAGCAGAAACCAAATGAACATCCTTGGTTTGGAATGGAGCAGGAATTTTTCTTAATGAAGGATGGGCGACCTTATGGATGGCCGGCGACTGGTTTTCCAGCCCCACAAGGTCCTTATTACTGTGCGACGGGGTTCCCGTTTGCTCCTGGGAGAAAATACATTGACTTGCACTATGAGATTTGTCTGCAGATGGGGCTCAATGTCTCTGGCACGAACGCCGAGGTTGCGCCTGGTCAGTGGGAGTTTCAGGTGGGTCCTTGTGAAGGTCTGGAGATGGGTGATCAGTTGACTGTGGCACGCTGGGTGTTGCTGAGGATTCTGGAGGACGAGGGATTGGACGTGGAGTACCGCGCAAAACCAATTCAAGGTGATTGGAACGGCAGTGGGCTTCATACCAATTTCTCTACACAGGCAACGCGCTCTGAGAACGGATTGGACGTTATTTACAATTATGTAGAGCGTTTGAAGCAAACGGTTCGGAAGGATATTATTTTTTACGGGCCCGAAAACAATGAGCGTTTAACCGGAAAACACGAAACCTCAGTACCGAACGTGGTGACTGCCGGAGTTGGCACGAGGAAGACGTCTATTCGCATTCCAAATTCTGTTGCAAATGATAGAAAGGGGTATATGGAAGATCGACGACCCGCTGGCGATGCTGATCCTTATCTCGTCTCATCAAGACTCTTTGCCTCCTGTCTTTCTCTTGACACTCCAGCCTTGGATCTGGTCTCACCACTCCACGAAAAAGGTTGGATGAACTTTCCTGTGGTGCAGTCATAAAGTTTCTTTTTTTTTTCTGCTCTTTCTGTTCGGTGTTTTTAATTGTTAAGAATGTCTTTTTTTTGCTTTATTTTGTTTTATTTTCGAGAATGTATGTGGGATGTGTTTATGCGTCATGAAGTTTTATGAAGTAAAAGGAAAAGTGATTATTTGATATTGTGACAAGAAAAGATAATAATATTTTTTGTTTGTTGACGTGGTGGATTAATAAGTAGAATTATATCTCGCAAGAAGTTCGGTAGAACTTTGTGCTTTGTGTAATTTTTTTTTCATATAGTGTGATGCCATAAAGAATAAATTATTTTTGTTTTTGATAGGAACTACTACTAGCTTTAATGCTATTGTAACTAATGCTATTATTATTGTTGGTATTATTATTATTATTATTATTATTATTATTATTATTATTATTATTATTATTATTATTATTATTTTAATGTTTAACTATTATTGTTACTGTTGTTATTCTTACTGCTGCTATTGCTATTGTTGTTTTGCCTTCCATTATTCTTGTTGTAAGCAGCCTCCCCTTGAATTTGTTGATTGGGGTAGCTGCAATGCGAGCTGATGTTGATGCTTCTGTGGCCAGCAATGGTTCGGCATTACTTCAAATGGAGGCGGCAGACGCAAATGTGGCTTTAAGGAGCAAACGGAAGAAGAAGAAGAGCAAACGGAAGAAGGCACTGTATGACCAATACCTTGCAGATTCTGGCAGTGAATGTTCAGTTGAGGTATGTGAAGACGGAGAGGAGGCTTTAAATGCGTATGAATGCGAAGAATTCGAACCGGGTATGGACATTAATATTCTCATTCAACAAACTGTGCAGAACGTTGTACAAAGCGTCAGTTTGGAGGATTATGATGGCCTTTCGCGGTTTGGTGACTATGAATTAATATGCTTTAGCGCTGCATTGAAGAACAACAGTTCTATTCTCTCACTTCAAATAAGATACCTTGACGTTTCGGACACATCACTTGTTCCACTATGTCGGGCACTGGAGGTTCATCCATGTATTCGTGCATTGGACCTTTCTGGCACACGTGGTGGAAATGCCAGCATCAAGGCTGTATTTCGTCTGGTTTGCACAAACCCAAGCATTCTTTTTGTTCGGTTAGACGACACAATGGTATGCCCTCAGGATGCTGAGGATATACGTCTTGCAACTCAATACAATGCACTTGCATGCCCTGATCCTGCTAACAATCCATTTCATCTTGGTCTTTTACGTAAGATTGGTGATATGGAGGAAGAAGAACAGAAGTATAAGGAGCAGCTCTCAGCACATCCTTGGTTATTTGGTGATCGTTCTATTTCCCCTGGAAATGGGCCAGCTAAAAAGAAAAAGGTTGGATTTGCCGAGAAAATGGCCAAATCACGTATTGGTGCTGAAATTTGCGCTCAATTTATGAGTGGTCGTTGCACCTACGGGTCGCGTTGTAGGTACATTCACCCAGAAAAAACTGCAGCTCTGCAGAATGCTATTACTGTAAGTCAATATAAAATGTCACAGGAGTTGGAAAACGATAGTAGAAGCTTAAAGAGTAGTGCCACTATGTTTGGATCTAGTTCTAGAATGAGATTACAGAGCAGACTTCGTCCAGTTAGTTTCTCACTGAAGAAAGATGTGTCAGTGTCAACATCGGCACTGACACCAGCACCAGCTGTTATTGCTGCTAAAGTGGCCAAATTGAATGGTAATGGGGATGATGTATCCTTATCGGATGCCGCATGGATACGATCTCTTTGGTTTTTTTCTGCTACTCTTGTCGTTTGTAGTGCCACATTAGTTGTTTTTTTCTGAGTAATTTGAGTGGTAGGGAAAAGAGGTGACTGAATTTTTTTTATTTTGTTTTTGTTGCGGCGATTAGGGGTGTACCGTGAGGTCGTGAGAGAGAACCAGTATGAGTGGATTATTGTGTAGTGTGAGTGCGGTGGCGTTTGAAAGGGTCGTGAGGACCTGAGTAAATTACGTTGATGTTTTTTCTTTTTCGTTAATTTTAATTAATTTTACTACAATTTGCAGCAATGCTGTGCTGCCCCCCAAAAACTTAAAAAAAAAAAATGATGATGAATACTAAAACAGGCAATTATGAGGAATCATTTTTTTTCAATAACTACCGATGTCTCTGAGTTATAAGCTGAAGTGAAGCGCGGTGCCAATGCCCGGTGTTATACGTAGAATATGTGATCCTCCGCTTAGTGATGGATCTGACGTTCCATTATTGGATGTGCAGAGCGTACGTCAGTTCAAAATATCCTCATCGGATGTTTTGGGAAAGTATATTTCCCCGTCATTTGTATCAGTACTAAAAGAAATGATTCCATTAAATGATAATGCGTTAGGATATGGCGGAAGTTGGTTTTGGAGTTGCTATTTCCATGCTCTATATGGCGAAGATGTATTACTAGATCTGAGTGGAACTGGTGTGAGTTTATCAGAAGATTCCCTTGACTCACAGATATCTCTACGTCAGAGGTTGGCCTCAACAACTGATACTGGACACCTTGGAGTTGCCATTGAACACTGTTGTTCCAAAATTGAAACCCTTTGTGCCGTGGCATTATCACTTGTTTTGCATGTTTCACACCAACCAATGTTAGAAGATAATCAAGGTCCTCAGGCGTTAGTCCTTTGTGCCACAAAGGAACAATGTGATGAGGTATACGCATTGGTAGATCGTTTTGGAGCGGCCCTTCATTTGGTTACACATAATTTATTCGGAGCCTATCCTCCAATGCCCGCTGGTAGAAGAGCTGACATCGTCATTGGAACCTTGCCACTCTGGGAAAGTGTGGCACAAGTGGAACCTCTTGCTAGCCATGATGGTCTTGAAGAGATTCTTTATCAAGTTTCAGATGACGCGCGTTGGACGGCCTCCTCCACACGGTGGAGACCATACTCGTTGGATTTTGTTGCACAGCTAGTTCTTATAGATTTAGACTTGCAACATGCTTTAGGATATTGGCCAATGGTACGGAGACTCTTTGCAGAGCACAAAAGATCTTCATTAAACCCTTTAAAACATATGACTGGAATGAATAAAAATGGAAATAAGACTAACACTATCTCAGTTAGTGGACTTCCAGAAGGATTTCAGATGTATTGTTTGGTTGGTGAATGTAGAAAAGGAGCGGAACTCTTTACCAAGCTACGTGCGTTGTATGAAAGACGTGGAAATGGCAAAAACAATGGGGATGTGTCTCGTATCGCATTAAGACTTGAACACCTACAACAGGACAAAGTAAATGGCGAAAATGTAAATAATCATTCTCGCAAAAGACGACGAAATGATGATGATGATGATGATGATGATGATCATACAGATGTTGCTACTGCAACTACTTGTAATGATCATTCCTCAACTCAATATCCTCGATTGGTGATTCACAATGCGCTTTCACATTCACGGTTATTGTTAGATGCGAGTGCCTTTGAAGATTTCGCTACAGAGACAAGACGTCTTGCTCAGAGTTTCTGGTCGAGATTTGAGGCAACATCATGCTCTGCAACCGATGAAGTGTGTGTGGAAGCAGTCGTTAGTGTACAATTGGCATACGGTTGCCGGCCGATGACGAGAGATATCACAGGCGAGAATAAACCGTGGTGTATAAATGAGACCGTGGCTGTTATTACACCCATTAACGCCGGTGCCAGACACCCATCACGTGCAGGACTACTCATTCGACATTTGGAAGATGAACTCTCAGGTCAGATATTTGATGGGAGTGTTGTACAGTGTCTTTCTCATTCTCATGAATTGGCTTGTGTGGATCAAAGCTTGGTAACACTTCAGGGTGTTTTCGCCGCCACTGCAAATTCCCTCATGCAGAAACCAATCTTTGTACTGTTAGATAATGTGGAGCGGGATATGGCAGAGGCACTCACACATCGGGCACATCTGCGGCAACTTGTTACAGAAGTTTCCTCTAAAAATAATGAAAAAATAAATTTTCCACTCCACAAATTTCTTAGCAATGTACCACAACAACCATGGCGTACTGTTCTAGCCTTTCGCAATATTGCCCCAAATATTTCAGTGTTTTGTGACTCAGCAAATGGTGCCAAACCAACTGCCCTTCTTTACTTGGAGGAATGTTGCCAATATGGCAAGGTTGTTTCATACTTTGTATACGAACAACGACACTATGGAAAGGATGGTGAGAACTGTGTGCACTTTTTCGTTGAGTTTGCGACACGTGAAGGAGCAAAAGAGGCCGTACGGCAGTTCTCCTTGCGATTTGCAAGTGAATCTCAGAATAAAGAGGGATCTACGCGCGTAAAATTGTTTTCTAATGAATTGTATTACGAGGGAGCTGAATCAGAACTACGAAGGCGGCAAAGTATAAACAATGGGGCTGGAAACGACACCATGGGTGACAGAGGGACAGAAGTAAAGAATAATAGCAACGACGACGATATAGATGAGGATGACTTTATTGATGTCTCTCTACTAGCTGAATAAAACAGTTTTAGTCTGCTTCATTGCCCTCGGCGTGCGTTTTTTTTTTTGTTTGTTTTTTTGAATGTTTCTCTTTACTTCCATCTCTTTTTTCTATTTGTGATGGTCTGTAGTAACACGATAAAACAATCGCTGCGTTCCGTCATTTATGCTAAATATATGACTCAATAAACGAATGATAGCTGTGGCCCTCCGGCCCTTATATATTTCTTTCCCACCTCATTACTCTGGACAAGAGTATGTCGGGTGTAATGGCTTCGTGGCTCAAACAATTCAGAGTTATATGTTCAAAACAAAACAAAACAGAAATAAACAAAAAAAAAAATCCCTTTTTCTTTTTTTCTTTTCTTCTTTTCTTTCCTTTTTCTTTTCTACTACAAAATAAAAAAAAAACAAATAATCAAAGGTCTCTCTGTACAAATGGTCTCTCTGAAGTTACAGGCTCGCTTGGCCGCGGACATTCTCCGCTGTGGCCGCAACCGTGTGTGGCTTGACCCCAATGAGGCGACGGAGATCCGCAACGCCAACTCCCGCAAGAGCGTGCGCAAGCTCATCAAGGAAGGTCTTGTGATGTGCAAGCCCGTGAAGGTGCACTCCCGCTCCCGCTGGCGCCGCATGAAGGAGGCCAAGGCAATGGGCCGCCACGAGGGCACTGGCCGCCGCGAGGGTACACGCGAGGCTCGCATGCCAAGCAAGGAACTGTGGATGCGCCGTCTCCGTATTCTTCGCCGTCTTCTCCGCAAGTACCGTGAGGAGAAGAAGATCGACCGCCACATCTACCGTGAGCTTTACACCAAGGCCAAGGGTAACGTGTTCCGTAACAAGCGCAATCTCATGGAGCACATCCACAAGGTGAAGAACGAGAAGAAGAAGGAGCGCCAGTTGGCTGAGCAGCTTGCCGCCAAGCGCAGCAAGGATGAGCAGCACCGCCAGAAGGCTCGCAAGCAGGAGCTCAAGAAGCGCGAGAAGGACCGCGAACGTGCCCGCCGCGATGATGCCGCCGCTGCCGCTGCCGCTGCCGCCGCCGCTAAGGCGAGCGCTGCTGCAAAGAAGGCCGCTGCCCCTGTGGGCAAGAAGAGCGCCAAGGCCGCTGCCCCTGCAAAGGCCGCTGCTCCCGCTAAGGCTGCCGCACCAGCGAAGGCTGCTGCTCCCGCCAAGGCCGCCGCACCAGTGAAGGCTGCCGCTCCCGCTGCCAAGAAGGCTGGAGGCAAGAAGTGAAAAGTACATTAGGACTGAGAGGTTGTTTTTATTTCAATATTTTTCTTTTTAAATTGAAGTTACCGTAATATATATTTTTTTTTATTGGGATTTGGGAGGTGTTTCTTTTTTTTTTTTGGTGGGGTGACGATTGCGCAGATACATTTGCTCTTTTTTTTCTTTTCTTTATTTTTTGTTCTTGAAGCTCTGAAGGTGTTTAGTTTGTCTGATCACCACAACCATAAAGGGCTAATAGTGACGATGTCGAGCGTAACGGCGGACCTAGAGTACTTCAAATGTGACTTGTGTGGGGTGTATTTTCACAGAGACATCTTCTGTGATCACCGGCGCGAGTGTAAGGGTCTTGACTCAACAGAACTAAAGAAGAGTGAGTGCCGGCAGATTGAGGCTGCACTAAATGAAGAGATGCGACGCCGCTTTGGATTAGGAGAGGCAGGGAAAACACAGGTGATACCTATTGAACTTGCTGAAAGACATCAACAGGCACGTGTGCGGCGGAACGTGGCAAATGCTTATCAGTCTGAAATAGACAAAAAGTTGGAGGAACAGTTCAAGTCTGATAAAATGAAGGCATTAGCAGCATTTTTGGAGGAGTGATGATAATGGATCATGGTCTTTTTTCTGTGATAAATTGCCCCTACTGCTCACCTTTTAACCCATGAAGGCCTATATTTGAATGGCGATAAGGAGTGGTTTATTATTATTATTATTATTATTATTATTATTATTATTATTATTATTATTATTAATTTTAGTTGCGCTTTTAATTCATGTACACTCTCAAGTTGTGTGAAGACAGAATTTTCCTTGGGTCATAGCAAGATGGGGGGAAGTGGGAACATGACAAGGAGAAAAAAGTCAAACACCATTTTTACTACACTATTTACAATGCACGATGTAACCAAAAAAAAAAAAAATATCTGTATTTGTGCTTTATACTTGTAATCCCATTAGAAAAACCTTGCTTTCTCTTGTTATTGATTATTTTTTTTTCACATTTTTATCCCCTTTTTATTCCTATTTATTGTGTTATATAGGCATCCATACTTCACTTTTGTACGCACGATGGTCTCTCTGAAGTTACAGGCTCGCTTGGCCGCGGACATTCTCCGCTGTGGCCGCAACCGTGTGTGGCTTGACCCCAATGAGGCGACGGAGATCCGCAACGCCAACTCCCGCAAGAGCGTGCGCAAGCTCATCAAGGAAGGTCTTGTGATGTGCAAGCCCGTGAAGGTGCACTCCCGCTCCCGCTGGCGCCGCATGAAGGAGGCCAAGGCAATGGGCCGCCACGAGGGCACTGGCCGCCGCGAGGGTACACGCGAGGCTCGCATGCCAAGCAAGGAACTGTGGATGCGCCGTCTCCGTATTCTTCGCCGTCTTCTCCGCAAGTACCGTGAGGAGAAGAAGATCGACCGCCACATCTACCGTGAGCTTTACACCAAGGCCAAGGGTAACGTGTTCCGTAACAAGCGCAATCTCATGGAGCACATCCACAAGGTGAAGAACGAGAAGAAGAAGGAGCGCCAGTTGGCTGAGCAGCTTGCCGCCAAGCGCAGCAAGGATGAGCAGCACCGCCAGAAGGCTCGCAAGCAGGAGCTCAAGAAGCGCGAGAAGGACCGCGAACGTGCCCGCCGCGATGATGCCGCCGCTGCCGCTGCCGCTGCCGCCGCCGCTAAGGCGAGCGCTGCTGCAAAGAAGGCCGCTGCCCCTGTGGGCAAGAAGAGCGCCAAGGCCGCTGCCCCTGCAAAGGCCGCTGCTCCCGCTAAGGCTGCCGCACCAGCGAAGGCTGCTGCTCCCGCCAAGGCCGCCGCACCAGTGAAGGCTGCCGCTCCCGCTGCCAAGAAGGCTGGAGGTAAGAAGTGAAAGGATGCCCACTGATATTTTTCTTGATTTTTAGTTTTATACTCTGATTTTTTTTCTGCTTTGCGTAGATTTTTGTTTTATCGTGTATGATTTGCTTTATATATCCTTTGCTATCGCTGATTGGAGGGCGGAATGTACGTTTATTAAATTGTTGCTCTTTTTCTTTAGCTGTTTTTTTTTTTTTTCTTAGTAAAGGTGTTGTTGTTTAACCTATAATAAAAAAGAGGGATTAATTACCTTCTTGTGTTTTGATCACGTTTACCTTCAGTCGAGTCATTGTTCATTGAAGTTTCTAGGTATGATTCCTGCAATAAATATGAGCAAAATTATCACTGATAGTGGTGGAAAAGTCGGGGAACATAGTACAACTAACGGAAATATGGATGGTGGGAAGTCGCAACAGGAGATACGTCCCTCTACACCCTTGCGCAGTCGCACTTCCACAAGGAATGCATCACGTGCCGTTCGTGATGGCTCACCTCATAGGACGCCACGTGCAGGTGCAGCCACTACTACTGCCAATACTAATACTAATATTGCTACTAACGTAGAAGACGGTAGCTCAACTGCTGATTTGCGGCGTCGAGCAGAGGAGGTCAGTTCTGTTTTGGGTGTAAACATACTTCAGGTTCAAGATGTTTTTGTACTTCAGTGTAAGGCTATAGAAGTTGCAGAACGGATGATACGAATGGAGGAATGGTATAATGTACAATTACAAGAGAGAAGTGCGTACCTGGAGCACCGAATATCACAATTGGCGGCTGGTATGGGTGGACAAGGTACACATGGGGTAGGGGATAAATGGGTAACACCAACGACAATACGAAGTCGACCATCTACAGGTAGCGCAGGAACAACATTAAGTCGACCAACACTGAGTGTTACTCCCACATCATCCGTCCGCCATCCTAGTGCGGTTTCTCATGCTATACATGCTGCACATACTGCACATGCTGCGAGTTCTGTAACTTCTACACCACCAGCTCCTCCTATAACGGTTGCGTCTCATAATACATCTGGTGCTCTTAGTCCAAATGATACACAGACTATTTCTTATGCTACTCATGTGAACCCAAGGACTCCTGATAGTTCCCGTATTCGGCTCTCACACCATCATTCTAGCCCGTTGGCAAGTGGTGCTGTACATCCACCATCACGTGATGTGTCCATTTTGGGCCATATACCATCACGTAACAGCACAACTCTTAGACGCCAACACAAGAGTACAGGAGGGGGAGGTAGCATCACTGGAAGTCGAACCAAAGCGACAGGAACAGAGAGACGAAAGGTACGTAGTTTAAGTGTTACAGTCGGTCGAATATCTAGAGGAAGTAGTGATGCGGGAGTTGAGGAAACTACTGATGATGTAGCTCGACGTCCAAAGAAACGGCGCAGTTTGGGTGCAACCGTTTTGCTCTCAATGCCAACGAGGAATACTACCCCAAAGCGTGTACAACCATCCACTGGCCGAATAGGTTATTCATCATAGTTAACAAAGCGATAGTAGATAGCGAAGGTTATATATCCGTCTCTTGAGGGGCAGAAGAGCGTTTTTTTTTTGTTTTTTTTTTTTTTTCTTGATGATCTGGGAATATTTCTTTTTCACAGCCAGACACCATTGTTTTACTAGACCCCCTCTCTTTCTTCGGTCACGGAGTACTTTTTTTTTTCTTATTGCTAGATTGCGGTGTCTCACCACACCATTTCTCCCCCTTCTCTACGTACTACGTATTATTATTATTATTATTATTATTATTATTATTATTATTATTACCCTTTTTTTTTTTAGTTGTTTTCCTTCATTTTTTTTTTACTCATTGCACCCATATGACTGCATCGTGTTGGCGTTGTCGTGTCTTGGCTTATTTCCGTAAACCTTTACTTGGTTTCTCCGTTCGCACAATTTGTCAATGTGATGGGGAGGGGGGATATGTTGTTGTGTACATTTATGTACATCTGCGTGCATTCCTTTTTTTTATATATTTACATATAAATATCTATGTATACATGCTACTTCATTCATTTGGGTTTGACATGACTAATTCTGCACTATTTCTTAGTACTATTTCTTGCTCTGTTTCTTTTTTTGTTCTTTTCTTTTCCTTGTTCTTGTTCGATTACTCTTGTCTTTTTTCTTTTTTTGTGTAAAGTACCGTAAATAAAAACGAAAAGAGGAGTAAAAAGGGGGGTGGAAAAAAAAAAAAAAAGGGAGAACAAATAGAACTACAGTGAGACAATGGACCGGTCTAGCAAGACATCGAGCCCAACGCCCACATCACCGCGACCTGTGGTAAAGAATATCCTCAAAAATGTTGAGAGTCATGTTCGTCTCATGTCTCACCTTGAGAATACCTCCACCTCTTCCAGTTACACGGCACTACGTCTCAAGGATACACAGACAGACACATGGTCTGAGTCATTTAACGTTACACGTGTACATCGTGCGACCCCAACTAATACATTCTATCAAGAGTTGATCGCACCCTGCGTGGCTAACAGTATGGCGGGGCAAAGTTATTTATTTTTAGTCAGTGGTCCATGTGAAAGTGGCCGTAGTCAGACGCTCTACGGTAGTCCACATCACAGTGAAAAAGGTATTATTGAACTCACTGCAGAAGATCTACTACGATATACGAAAACGACGATAGGGGATGGAGAAGAAAATAACGGTCGTCGCGCAACTGTAACTCACTCCGCATTCGTTACACGTGGATCACAAATGTTGGAGACTGTTACTGGTGAACCTGTGCCTATTGTAGAGTTTCCACCACCTCTCGGACCTACGGCATTACCACATATGCAGTTACTTGAATCCGCTCCTAATGCTGTACAAATACCGGTAAAGAAACACATGGATACCTCTTGTATTGTACAGTTTCAAATCTATGCGCCAGTGGATGCAGCTGGAAGGCGTTCAATGGGAACGATAACTTTTGTAGATGTTGCCGCCTTTCGTCCACCATACTGCAGTGAAGTTCGTCATCTTGTTGAAACTGTTCGTCGTGTAGCTGGTCTTTCAAATAGTGGAGATCCTTGCTTTAAACAGACAAAACTAACATCTTTATTGGAACCAGCACTTGTGGGATACATTACACTTATGTCCATTACAACTATAAGTGGACGAGCAGATCTACATGAGCCCGCATGTGGGGCTCTTCGCTTTGCCGAATCCATTAGTCGCATTCATCAAGTACTCATGCTTGTACACATCAATACCCCCAAGTGGTTAATGGAAACGGCAGAGAGATTAGAAGAACTACGAATGCAACGTGAACGATTATTTGCGGAACAGTATGCCCGAGGTGTGTATGATTTTTACCTCATTGCCAATAAATGGCTCGCGGAACATGTGGCGGATGTTGATGGTACATTTGATAAATTGCTTGAAGAAACAGAACGTGTTCGTGAAGAGGTTGCACGGGAGGTAGAAACTCAAGCGAAAGAGCTTCAGGCACGCATAGAGGAAGAGGAAGAAGAGTGTGCGGTACAGATGGAGGAAGCACGTGCAGCTGAGGCTGTAGCCAACACACATTTAGAGGAAGTAAAGCGATTAGATGAAACGATTGCGGCATTAGATCAGCAATTAACACAAGGAGATTTTTACAGCGATCATAAAATTAGTGAAATGCGAATAGAAATCTCTACATTAGAGAATGAGACAAATATGCAACGACAGGAATTGACCCAGTTGGAAAAAGAAGAAAAACTCTACGCCAGTAAATACAGAGAAGTAGTAGATGTACTTGAAAAGTATGCAGAAGATCTTGCCATGGCACAAATGCATTTTATCCATGCTACTGAAATGAATGATATTAACCAAAAGAAACAACAACTTGAAGCGGATCTTGAACTCGCCTCACGAGTGGCACAACGGGCAACAGATAATCTTCGCGTTGATCGTGAGCGTCGGTCAAAGTTATCACGTTTGACGATGATGGAACAAAAAGTAGAGGCACTTCGTGAACGGGTGAACCCTAACAGGAACAGTACCAGTAATACCAATAACCGCAACAGTGTTAGTTGCAACAAGACTGAACGATGTGAAGAATCCGTTTCACAATCACCAGGGAATAGACGACGGCGGTATGTAAGCCCTAGATATTCGGCGATATAGTGTATTCAAAATGCATATTCGTCTAGTCAATATATACGGTTATCTCTTCTTATACCCTCCCTTAAATTTGAATATACGTACATGTTTTTATGAGTTTTTGTTTTTGTACGTATATATATATAGGAGGGAGGATGAGTGGTGGGAGTGTAGTCTATGGTGGGGGATGTTTATGTTGTTTGTCCGACTCTGGTGTCTATTAGAATAAAAAAGAAGAAAAGAAAGAATAGAAAGTATGATGTGAGTTTGCAGTAATGTTTAGAGAAAGAAGAAAAGAAGGAAAAAAAAGGGGTGCAATATGAAAATGAGTGAGTGATCTTCTTTACCCCAGAGATGGAATCAAGTACGTTGGTCGTCTTGACTATTTTTGTTTTTATTTATTTTATATATATTTTGATTCTCTTTAGATGCCTTATCTTTTTTTTTTTTGTTCGTCTTGAGAAGATCCACCAAATTGTATGCAATGCGCACATATCCTCACACAATACCACACAACCAGATGAAGAGAAGGGCATTATTGCCATTATATATATATATATATATATATATATATGTCTGGGTTTATGTGTATGTCTGTGTCTGTGTTTCTCTTAAGTATTTACATGGACCTGTATGTGTGTTAATACATATAAGTATTAGAAGTCATATCTTCTGTGTGTGTGTTTGTTTGGGTGTACTAATGAAAGGCGTATAATACTCTATTGAAATAACCACTCCTTTTCTGCTTTTTCTTTTATTTTCTCCTTTTCTTTATTTGTTTACCCTGTACAAGCTTAAAGAAGAGAAAGCAGCAGCAGCAGCAGCAGCAGTATACAAAACCAAACAGAAAGCGTAGTCACTGGAGGTAAAGAGAGAAACAAAACAAGTGAACCTGCTGGCTGGTTGTCAACTCTGTTACTTTCAAGTTCACTCCCATCATCATCATCATCTTCTTGATATTGCTTCAGTGGAAGAAGAGGAAGAACATCTGTAGGAGAAAGAGAGGGTGATACTTATAAAGGACACCTGGGTGAGTTATAGCAATCATCCACCAAAGAAAGAACAAAAAGAAAAAAAAAAAAAAGAACGAAGGAAAAAGAAGAAGAAAGGAAAGAAAATAGTAGAGTACGAAGAAACCAAAAAAGAACAACAACAAACAGTAAAATAGAAAGAACGAAAAGAATATGCAGGATCCAGCTGCACAACCGGAATACCGCCTAGGAAGCGCGGATGCATTTGGTAATCCCATCACCGTATCTCAGGCTGCCACAGATGAAGAGTTGCGGGAAGTAAGCGAAGATAATCTCCTTCACGAGGTGTTAGCAATGAACACACTTGCCATGCAAAGATGTAATGCAAACATGCCAGAAGAAGCCACAACCATTCTTACAGAGGCGTATATGAAACTACACAATCGTACTTCCCCACAAAACCAACAAATGATAGACACACTCCGCGCCACTACACTTAATAATCTTGGTGTGGTGGAGTGCCATCGCGGACAACATCGTCAGGCGCTTAGTCACTTTGAAGCGGCACGACAATTAGAGGAAACTTGGGGTACCGCCTCTCCTTCTGTGGCACTTAACAGCTGTGCAGCCTATAATGCATTGGGCATGTATGATAAAGCCACAGCAGCGGCTACAGAAACGATTGATATGCTGCGGACGTTGGCTGTACAGGAGAAAAAGAATAATAATACCAGTAGCGGAGGTACTGGTACTGGTGTGGGAGGAGATGAATCTCGATCATTGCAGGGAGGCGGTATTGTGATTGCTAAATCCGACAATAATGCCCTCTGGGGAGCTGCTTGGCATAACATGGCGGTGGCACAAATCAACACAGCGAGACTGACGAAGGATACAACAGAACATGCAAATGCAGCTGTACTATTTCAGAATGCTATGCGAGCAACTCAGGAATTACTGGGTCGTGATCATCCCATGACAAAGAGTGTTACCGCAACCTACCGAAATGTGCGAGATGTATTACGTTCCTATGGAGTTTATAAGCAACATCACACCATGCTGACAGCCCCTCCACGACCAGTAGATCCACGTGATGAAGAAGAGGAAATGGAAAGATATTTACAGCAATCTGGTACTAAATCAAGACGTCGTGCGTTGGATAAGTATCACCGTGATCTCACCATCACCTTCTGTGGTGAGGCGACCAAAGGATTAAGGTTAACAGAGCGACTGGATCCAACACCGTATCCAGGTGCAGTGGATGAGGCATTTCGAAAGAAGAAGGGACAGAAGGTGCCAGGTGTGCTGCGTGGAATGGCACTAAGTGAGACTTTACTGCGGGCTGGACAACTCTACGGTAACCCACACCCATTGTTGTTTTCACTTCCACCAAACTATAACTCCACAATGGGTGGAACGTTGAAGGATAGTCAACATACGGGAGACTACTCTGGGAATGGAGGGATGCCGACACCTCGCACCATCACAAATCGAGCGAAGTCTCCCATTAAACAACAACAACAACAACAACAACAACAACAACAACAACAACAGCAGCGTCGGCGGCAGCAACAACAAGAACAATTACAACAGAGGCAGCAGCAACAACAACAACAATTGCAACAATGGCAACAGCAACAACAACTGCACCACTGGCAACAACAACAAGAACGACAACAAGAACGACAACAGCGACAACAAGAACAATTACAACAGCGACAACAACAACAACAACAATGGCAACAATGGCAAGTAGACTCAACCAAAAGGTCTGGAAATCCGGGTTACCAGCAAATTGTATCATCTGCATCCCAACAGAAAGGCTCTGTATATCAAGGGTCGATGGCTAGTAATCGACAGAAAACCAACACCAACTACAAGCAAGCACCACCCGTATATGCACATATTCGTTCCAACCAAAAACCACCATCACCTAATCACGAACAGACATCCCCCAACCATAGTTACAATCCACTATCATATGAGATGGCATCCCATAGCTCCCAAGAGGCCATGTACAATTATCAGAAAAACACCTCCAATATACAAGAGGGGTCCTCTCGTAACTTGCAAATACCCCAACAAGTGCCATCCAATGACCAGAGTAAAACAATCGATCACAGAGGGAACAGATACGAACCACAGATTCCCTCCCAAAAGGTGATAATACCTGATAAGGCAGATTCCTCTAGTGAACGTGTCCCAGTTCAGCATTCATCAAGGACACGACCCCCGCGTCCACCTTCGTCTGAAAGGCTTCTCCCGCCACTAAATAAAGCGTCTGCCCGAGGAGGAAAAGGAGGCGGGAGGCGAACACCTGGTGGTAGCGACAGTGCAATGGCAGCAGCAACAACGGCAGCAACAACTGCAACATCATCAGGAACCGCAACAAAGCCTGGAACAGCAACCACCACCACCACCACAAGGGCAACAACAAAGTCAACATCCAGTAGTGGAGGTAGCTCAAGACAACGACCCCCTTCCGGACCCAAGCCAATGACCGTAGCTGCTGGTCCTACCTACGAACAGATTAAGTACGTTTTGCTTGCTGAACCTCAAGAAGAACGGAGACAACGTGGAGCAATGGATCAGCGGTTGACGAATGACCTCTCGCCAGTGTTGATTGCATCAAGCAACGCCCTTCAGGGAACGGACGGTGAGTTAACTACCGAAATGATTGATGGTAAGGCACACCAACTTTTTGATGCGATGTGGGTGACAGCGACACCAGCTATTGATACTACTAAAACTCATACTGTGGGGAGACCCAGTTACTATGTTTCTTCTGTTGTGAATCTTTCTAAAGGAGATGCTGTTCTACCAGAGGAGGTAATGCAGATGATGATGGATGGTAGCTCCACCTCGGTGAATGAGACCGTAGCAGTGGGTGGCGAAGCCAATCAATGAGTTACCAGATCTGTTTCCAAAATTTTGGGAGCGGAAACTTTATACCAGTGCGCTATCAGAGATATTACTTCTTCACCATGGGAAAGCCTCAAACAGGGCTTCCTGTTTCAATGTATACGTTTATGATTCCCCTCTTCTTGTTTTTCTTCCCTCCAATGAGAAAAAAAAAAAGGAAACCTTGAGTAAAGGTGGTAAAAGGAAATATATATATATATATGTAAATATGGGGTTAGCAAAGACACGTTGGGTATTCATACGCTTGGAAGGAGGGTCAAAGAGAAATAAAGGAACAAAAAGAATGAGAAAAAGTATATGTGGATACATGTATTTGTCTCTCTCTTTTTCTTTCCTTTTTTTATTCTTTCTGGTTGTGTGTGTGTACACTTCTAAGAAAGAAGCTCATAAGAAAAGAGTAGACAAAAGGCTGCTTTTGCATCATTCCTATTCTTTTTCTTATTGTCCCCTTTTCTTGCACATGGAAACGAAATAAAAAAGGAGAGACTACCCCTCCCTTCTTATATATATATATATATATATATATATATATATATATATTATTTCTTCTATGATTCGGCGTTCTTTCACCCGTAGTATTGCCACCTAGTTCTTATGCAAATGTCCCTCTTTGTATGTTTCTTTTTTTTTTTGCTTTTTTCTTTCTTTCGTTCCTTGGCATGACGCGCGGTTTCTCCTCAGTACGTTGTTTTGCGATGAGGAGGACCTTTTGCACAACACATGTATGTTCTATTAGTCCATCATTCAACAATTTTTTTCTTTTCTTCCTGATTTCCCTGCGCAATAGCACGTTTTTTTTTCCCCCAAAGCACACTATGTTCCAGGTTATGGAACGATGTGAAAAGGGCTAATGTCACACTTTTCTTTCTTTCTTTCTTTCTTTCTTTTCCTTTCTTATTTTCATTACATCTATTAATTAGAACACACAAAGGAAACCAGGACAAGCAGAGTAAAGACCTTGAGACTATTGTGTGAATACTAGTGGTATTTACCTTCCAAAAAAACAGATACACCCACACACAAGAATAAGAGGGAAAAAAAAAAAGAAAACGCATGGCTCTTGTGGAACCATCACTAGGCAGCGGCATTGTCCGCACTGTTCGGATTGTCGATCCACCAACACCCTCTGAATTGCAGCGCAGAAAAGAAGCGGGTTGTCTGCCATACCCAAGCCGCCTCGCCTATCGTCTCATCGTCATACCCACCAGTGAAAGTGATAGTGCATTTGTCTCTTATGAAGACTATCCAGGAACGAAGGGGACAGGGCGTGCGAACGCGAGAGACCAGTATCGGCAGGCACGATACGGTGAACTGCTTCGTAGTCATCACGTCCCTATAGTACCTTTTATGACCTTCCCTAACCAGAAAGAACAGGAACAATATCGAGGGAGTATGGGAAAAGCAGGAGGAATACCTTCCGCGGAAGAACTCTTAGCATATCGGAGACGGTTACGGTTTAAAATGCGTGATGAAGATTACGTCATGTGTTGGGGATTCCATCCTTCACCTGGTCAGTATTACTACAAACCTGGACACGGCATTAATGTGATGCCACGACCGATTGTACAACTCCAACGTATGTATACCCGTGATGTGGAACCGGCTCCAGCATGTTCAATTGCAGTTTCAGAAGAAAAATTAACTATTGCTCCTATCTAGTCTGCTGTCATTAACTAATATAACGAATCCAAAGAAGTGGTGGCCTATATATATATATATATATATATATATATATATATATTTGTTTGCATTGTATTTTTTTTTTTTTCGCTGTACATGGTGTATCTACACTGTATATTTATTTATTAGTAGCATTGATAATAGAGGTTTACAATGTCCCCATCACAGAGTGATGAAAAAAAAAAGTATAACTTCTGTACGGATGAAGGGTAAAGTTGCGTTTTCTTTTCCCTTCCTAATAAGGCACACCCAGTCACCAACGAAAATATGCCTCATTCTCTCTCCAGTTTGAACTGTCATTTTATAGTTATTATCATGAAATCCTCTATCGTATGATGTCACATAATACATACTACGAAATACTTGAAAAAACCGTCCTTTAATTAGTGTGGACACTATTTTTTTATGGTTTTCGACAACCGCAAATGATACCCATAAAAGGGAACAAATACAAGGCAATGATTAAGAGGATGGGGGCATGCCGTTAACAAACATTGTCCCGGCTAAGCGTAGGGAGAAGCCTGAGTGTCTGAAAGAGATGGAGCGGGAGAAGATAAGTCCGCGTTCCTGTGTTAAATTGTCGATAACAAATAAATTGGAGCTGAGGAAAGTATTTTTTTTTGTTATTTACTCGGCATGGTATGGGTATTTGGTTTCTTTGTTTTTACTGTTTCTCTCCACCATTTGTGGTCTTATGTTGTAAACTAGACTTCACATTTATCGCCATATGATATATATATATATATATATATATATATTGTTTTTTTTAGTCCTCATTTCATTTTGCGTACTCTAATGGTTCCAGATGGTTCTAGATCAAATATTTTTTTTCAACCTCTTTATTTTATTAGTGCTAATGACATCATATTTTTCTCTGAATGAATCTCTCTCTTCATCTTTTCTCATCGTATTATGCATAATATGTCCACCGAAAATAGAAATAAAGAAAGGGAACCCGAAGCATCAAGGATTTTTTGATACAAAACAAAGACACATTTAACAGTAATGAATACCGATGCTGCCAAGGAACAGGAGCGCCGCCTCTATGCAAAGCACAATATACGTAACTCCTTCTGTGTATGGTGTATTGGTGTCATCAATAATTTCCACTGGAACCTGGTGCACGCAGGCTCAAGCGCCATCGCTGACAGCTATGGTATGAAGAAGTATGTGGCGCTTATCACGTGGGCCAATGTGTTATTTACTATTGTCGCACGCATTGGAAATGCCTTTGTGTTTCCATTGCTATCCTACAATGTCCGTGTAACCATAAAGGCCGGTGTGGCAATTGCAGCACTCCTTATCGTGAGTTTTGCGTGGGACATTGGTGGCCACAAGAATGTGGTGGCTTTTGTTGTAACGCTCATTGGTGTGGTCTTTGGTGGTATGGCGAGCTGCTACGGCGAGTCTCTCTTTCTTGGATACATTGAACGAATGCCTTCATTGCAGATTGGATCTTGGTCCTCTGGAACAGGGCTCTCTGGTGTGGTTGCTTCACTATCCTTTTTGGGATTGACCTCTGCCGGCCTGAGAAACTCTTATATTTTCCTGATCAGTATACCTATTCTGGTTATATATTGGTTGCTCTACTTCTTTGGCCTCAAGATGCCTTTCTACGTACCGACGAGCCCCGCGAACAACAAATCCATTACTGAGGTGGATGCTCAACCTGTGGATGGTGATGATGATGATGATTACGGCCGGTGCGCATACAAGGCAATGTCTAACTGGAAGGGCATGCCGTGGACAGACATCATTCCACCAGAGCCGGAAGAAAAGCCTGAGTGTCTGAAAGAGATGGAGCGGGAGAAGTTGCGGGCTGCGATGGGTGATGACTATGTGGAACCATTGGACTCCGACAATACACCCGAAAACGCACAGATTGGAAAGTGGGCGCGCTGGAAGCGGGATACATGGCCAATGGCCAAAGAAATGCACCGTTTTACTGCTTGGAACAACTTCAACCTTACTGCCGTGTACGTTACGGAGTACGTCGTACAGCTGATGGTACCATTCAGTTTCCCGTGCGGAGTTAAAGTATCTGAGAGCTTCTGGCTGAAGAATTCGTTTGTCATCTCACAGTTCTGCTACCAATTCGGTGTGTTGGTATCCCGCAGCAGCCTTCTCTGTATCCGTATCCGCTACGTGTGGATTATGACGATCATTCAATTCTTGAATGCCATTGCTTGGTTGATACAGGCGAAGATAAAGTACATGTCTGACCCCAATAATGCGGACCGTGAACTCAAATTTGCCTTTGGCCTGTTTGCCTGGATGATATTTGTGGGTCTGATGGGTGGTTCCTCGTACGTGAATGTCTTCTATAACATCCTTGAAGAGACAAAAAGAATGCAGGAGGATGAGGAGAGAGAGATTGTGGAGTTCGTCACCCGACACCGCTCAATGGAAAGCGCCAAGAAGTCTGATGAAGAGGGCCCTCAGAAGAATGCCAAAGATGGAGATTTAATTGCTTCTGACGATGAACAAGAGGTGGGTGTGTTGGACAGTGAGCCAGAGGAGCTGCATGCGGCTCGCAAGTACATTGCCGCCCTCTGGAAGCAGAGACGCAGTATGGCAATGAACATTGGGGCTTTGTATGCATCTATTGGCATCACCATTGGATCACTAATTGCCCTCTTCTTTACACTGGTCGTGCTGAAGAATGACGCATGCACGTAGCAGATAATAACAGACTGCTATTATTAAAGTTTAATAAAAAAAAAGTGCTATCTTTACGGAAAGATGTGAAAAGGTAATTTTTTCTATTATAAGAGGTAAAAAAGGTTATTTTTTGATTTGGTTAAAGGGGTTAAAAATCTTTACTGCAAAGAAATTTTTTTTTTGTTTTTGTTATTCGAGAGCTTGCGTAAAGAGTGATCAAGACTTTATGTTAATAAGTAACAAATTGTGTATGGGGTTGAACGTTAGGAATATTGTTTTCCTTTCATTTCTGACAGTCTGCAAACGCAAGATTCTGAAAGCCTATCCCAACCCAACCCTCACCGCCCCGAGCGAGAGGAGGAGGATGCGGGTTAAAAGGTTTCTGGGCACCTCCATTTCGTCAGTTTTGTTGCTTGTTAGGGGAAAAAACAGAGAAAACATTTCGAGGTTTGTTTTTGAATTGGAAGGAATATAGGGCTCAAGGCGATACATTAGTATATTGATCCCTTTCTCTTTTTTTCCTTTTCTCCAAGGAGAAACTAAGGCTTAGATTCATCTGTTCCGTAACTCTTACAGTGGCTAATAATTACTATGTTTTTTTTTTTTCAATGACAGTGTATTAACAGGAGAAAATTAAAGGAGGACTACCTTTGTGTCTTCATTCGGATGAAATTATTACAGTGGCTTCTAAGAGAAAAGATATTTTTATGGGTGTATTAACAAGATCGGAGAAAGAGAATTTTATAATGTGTGCTCTGTGAAATGGTTCAAGGCGAAGTGACTAAAATGCCTTCTAAAATAAACAAGTGGCTCAGAGCTGCATAATTACAGTGTTTTTTAAATTTATTTATTCATTTGTACCCCTCTCTCTTTTTTTTTTCATTGTGAAAAGCAGGAAACTGCCCTGTAACTGAATACGGTTCTCATTCCTTGTTGAAATTGGGTGATTTGTGCGGGTGGGACAAGCCAAATGGCGCGTGACATGCCTTTCCACCGGACCCCTCTCTTCTCTCTCTTACCATCTTTCTTTCTCCCCCTTTCTATTTGTAACTGCGCGTTGTGCCCTTTAAGATTGACCAAGGTTAAACAGTGATGGAGAGCGATTTTGCGAGACGTGAGGAGCAAAGGCTCCATACCAGGCATCGCGTGCGCAATGGCTTCTGTATGTGGTGGCTGGGCATGATCAACAATTTCCACTACACACTGGTACTCTCTGGATCGACGGCCATTGCTGAGAGCTACGATATGAAGAAGTATGTGACGCTTATCACGTGGGCCAATGTATTCTTTGGGATCGTCTCGCGTATTGTGAATGCGTTTCTTATGCCGCTGCTGTCCTACAACATCCGTGTGACTGCGACATCAGTGATGGGAATTCTGGCAATCCTTCTGGTGAGTTTTGCGTGGGACATTGGTGGCCACAAGAATGTGGTGGCTTTTGTTGTAACGCTCATTGGTGTGGTATTTATTGGCATGGCTGGCAGCTACGGCGAGGCTCTTTTTCTTGGATACATGGAGCGGATGCCACCAAAACAGATTGGATCTTGGGCGTCTGGAACAGGGCTCTCTGGTGTGGCTGCCTCACTTATCTTTCTGGGATTGACCTCTGCCGGCCTGAGCAACTCTCATATTTTCCTGATCAGTATACCTGTTCTGGTTATATATTGGTTGTTCTACTTCTTTGGCCTCAAGGTACCTTTCTACGTGCCCGTGAGGTCTGCGAGCATCACATCCATTGATGAGGTGGATGCTCAGCCTGTGGATGGTGATGATGAGAGCGGCTACACATACAAGGCAATGACTAACTGGAAGGGCATGCCGTGGACAAACATTGTCCCAGCTAAGCGTGAGGAGAAGCCCGAGTGTCTGAAAGAGATGGAGCGGGAGAAGTTGCGGGCTGCGATGGGTGATGACTATGTGGAACCATTGGACTCCGACAATACACCCGAAAACGCACAGATTGGAAAGTGTGCGCGCTGGAAGCGGGATACATGGCCAATGATAAAGGAGATGCACAACTTTACGTTGTGGAACAACTTCAACCTTGCTGCCGTGTACGTCGCGGAATACGCCGTACAGTTCATGGCACCATTCAGTTTCCCCTGTGATACGGTGAAAACAAGTGAGAACTTCTGGCTGAAGAATTCGTTTGTCATCACACAGTTCTGCTACCAATTCGGTGTGTTGATATCCCGCAGCAGCCTTCTCTGTCTCCGTATTCGCTACGTGTGGATTATGACGATCATTCAAGTCTTGAATGCCATTGCCTGGTTTGTACAGGCGAAGATAAAGTACATGTCTGACCCCAATAATGCGGACCGTGAACTCAAATTTGCCTTTGGCCTGTTTGCCTGGATGATATTTGTGGGTCTGATGGGTGGTGCCTCGTACGTGAATGTCTTCTATAACATCCTTAAAGAGACAAAAGAAATGCAGGAGGATGAGGAGAGAGAGATTGTGGAGTTCGTCACCCGACACCGCTCAATGGAAAGCGCCAAGAAGTCTGATGAAGAGGACCCTCAGAAGAATGCCAAGGATGGGGATTTAATTGCTTCTGACGGTGAAACAGATGTGGGTGTTGCTGCTGGAGAGGAGACTGAGGAGTTACTTGCGGCACACAAATATATTGCGGCTCTCTGGAAGGAAAAACGTGACTTGGCAATGAACATTGGTGCCCTCTACGCTACTATTGGCAGCACAATAGGATCTCTCCTAGACCTACTGTTTACTTTGGTCGTACTGAACGATGATGATTGTGGGAAGCCTACATGATTTCGTTTTTTTTTTGTTTTTTTTGGACTGGTTTTGTTCTGCTTTGGAGTTTTTGGTTTGTTGTTGCGATTTTATTACGGTTTTTCTCTTTTTTCTTGCTTTCTGTATTCTGCCTTGGGGGAAGTTATTTGTGATTTTTTTTTCTTTTCATCAATATACTTGCTCATGTTAGGAGTTTAATAGAACCGTTGGTAATTCTTTTGGTAATTTTATGGAGCAATATTCTGCTTTTCTCCTCGTGGCTGAATGTTCGTGGTTGTGTTTTTTTTTCGTTTGTGCGTGTTTAATGTTCTGCTTTCTCTCTTTCTTTCATGTCTCTCTCTCTCTCTCTCTCTCTCCCTCTTTGTGTTTTATTTCTGTAATCACAATTGCCATGGTGTGGATTGTGTATATATCCTCTTTTTTCTTTCGTTCCCTTGCTCTTAACTTTTTTACGCTTCGGTGTTTTTTTTTTTTTCTTTTCTGTATTATACTTTGAGAGTCGGCTGGGTTGTGTCTGTGGTTGTGTGGGTGCGTCTGGTGTTTTGGCTACTCGGGGGTATATATATATATAGGCGGTTAGTTAGATTCGAGTTGGGTTGCGGCGGGAGACCCTCTCTCGTGTGCTAACGAACCCAAGAGACTATTTCCTAATATATATATATATATATATGTTTGTAAAATAATTCGGAATAACGTATGTATATATAAATGTTTATATTGATATATATTCTTGTATATGTGTGTTACTACGCAAATTTTTTTTTTTTTTTTCTTCTTCACTTTGGTTTATTTTGGTGCTGGTGCTCCGTTTCCCCAATATCGCACCTTCCCTTGCTTATCCTGTGTGTTGCCCCCTTTGGTAGTCGTCGTTCTGACTTTTATGCGTGGGTGGGATTGTAATTTTTTTTTTTTTCTTTCTTTGCTCTTCTTTCTCTTTTTTTTTTTTTTTTTTTTTTTCTATTTTTGTTGTTTGAACTTTGTTTATTGTTTCTCTTTTCTTTTCTGTGTTGTGATCTTCTTTTGTGTCTCTGTTTGTGTGTGTGTACCATCGCTTTCTCTCCTTTCTGATGTGTTCTTTTTTCTTTTTCTTTCTTTTGGGTCCTTTTTATTTTCAAGTAAGGATGGATTATATCGTGGCTGGAGAGGGGTACGGGGGAAAAAAAAAAAAGGGGTGGAGATGGATAGAAACAAACACACATCCACACAGCCATTAATGAAGTGTATGTACCCAGAGAGATGGATTAAATCCCTTTTGTGGGTACATATTTCCCCCGCGTATCCATAGCGGTCAAAGACCATTAATAATAATAATAATAATAATAATAATAATAATAATAATAATAATAATACGTATAGGAAGACGGACGAGTAGCACCAGTGATAGTAGCGGTAATGCGGGTACATAACCGCCTCACATATCTTTATCTGTTATTATTATTATTATTATTATTAATCGTGATCATTATACGTAGAGAAGGAGAAAATATTTGGGTGATAGTTTGGTTTTGCGGTAGTGGAGTTTCTCTACAGAGTGCTTATTCCTTTTTTCATCACGGCGTGTCGTACTGTTATGGGAGAACCCACACAGAGAGAGACAAACTGCGCCTCTATTCACACGCATACAATAAAAGAAACAAAAAAAAGAAAGACGAAAACCATTAATAATAACTTCAATAGGAGAGAAATATACTTCTATTGGGTCTATTGGTTCATTGATAAGATGGATTATGGGTGGGGGAAGACACTCATATCAATAAAATAACAATACCATGAAGGAGGGAGTGTTAATGCTTCCTTACATGGGGGAGTAGTTCGAATGTTTGTGGCAACTCGTCATGAAAATGAGAAGAGAATGGTATATGTAAATAAATATCTTTAAATGTTTTTTTTTTTTTTTTTTTAACAAGTGGAGGTTTTTCTTGCAAGGCCTTTCTTCAACTTTATATAATATTTTTATTTGTTTGTTTTTCTTCGTTTCTATTGAATACTAGTTGCTTCAGTTGGTTCAACGAACGAAAAATGAAAAAAATAAATAAATAAATAAATAAAAAACAGGTTCAGTGTTAAGAAGGGAAATCAAGGGAAAGTGATAAATCTAAATTATTTTATTCCCTAATGTTTTCTTTTTTCCGTTTATTCTGTGTGTGTTGTTTTACTGCACATTCGATGAAGTGCATGTGTATATATACCCTCCGCTGTATTTATTAGCGGCATGGGTTGAGAGAAGCTGATATATACATATATACTACATATACATATATATTTATATATACTGGTCTGTTTCTCTTTCTTTCTTTGTGACTACTTGGCTGGGTGAAAGCGAGGCGCAATAAAAGTAGAGAAAAGTACAAAAAAAAAAAAAAGAAAATATATATATTTAGACATATATATATATATATATATATATATTTATTTATATTTATATTATACTCTTTGTGAGTATTTGGCTGATTAATAGAGTACAAATTGGTTTATTGGGTTTGTCTGTGGTCGTACTATATTGTCTACAGAACATTGTAGACTTGTGGCATATTGGTTGTTGGCTACCCCACAATACATACGCCGGAAGAAGAAGAAAAAGAAGAAAAAAAAAATCAAAATAACAACAACAACAACTACAACTACAATAGGAGCAGGGGTTATTAGATGTTCAGACGGGTAATACCGCTTTGCTGCTGGTATAATGTGCCCCAACTTTCTCGTGTTGGAATATTCCCACTGCACTTGGATCCACCTACTGTGCAGCACCGTGAACTCTTCCGCCTGCTTGTAGGCGATACTAATAATAATAACAATAATAATAATAATATTATTAATAATAATAATAATAATAATAATATTAGCAATGGGGTTGATAGTACTAATAGTAGTACTTCCCTCTGGTATCTAGAGCCGTTAGCGGAGAGCCTTAAGAAGAGTGAACGAGTCCCCTTTGATCATCTCATTGTAGTTCCCAACACACGTTTTCCAGTCGCACTCCGTCTCTCTACACATTTAGCCGCACTTACAACGCTGGTGACTCGTGGTCTCCCTCGGGTGCATGTGGACTTTACCGCACTAGAGCACCCAGATGAGGATATGCCATGTGTATATGAATTAACCCAGCGATATAAGAATAGTACATTGGTACATTGGCTACAAGATGCACATGAGATGCAGAAGTGGGCACACTTTGGTGATGTTAAGCTGCATGTGCCAATGTTACTCTTACAGACAGTCAGTCTTCCGGTTTCTGTAGTAGGTAGACCACCAGATGCCCGTTTGATTGAAAAGACACGTTTTGGTAGCAGCGGTAATATGTTATTTGATACCAACACTACATCTGAGTTACACCGGCAGAAACCACATTTACAAGAATATCAAGAAAATGAAGAAAGGAAGCACGAAAAGAAGCACGATAAGAAATCTCAAGAGGGAGGCAAACCACAGCAAATGGAAAAGGATAGAGAGAGTGCTGTGTGTTTTGATGATTGTGGTACCTGTAGCACCTGTGGGAGATCACCACGTTTAATGGCGAAGGGTCGTGGAGAAGAAGAGGTAGAGATTAGCCGTTCATACAAGAGTAGTTCAACTTCATCATGGTTAGCTTCATCTGATGACCTTTCTATGAATCATTTAGGGCCCGTCGATGCTGTTGATACAAGCAGTTACACCAGTAAGTATTATTCCAATAGCAACAAAAAGACACAAAACAGTAGTATTAGTACAAGTACTAATAATGGTAATGATGATGGTATTAGTAATCATAGCAGTAGTGGTAGCAATAACAATAACAGTGGTAGTAGTGGTGATGGTAGCAATAGTAATAGTAATAGTAATAGTAGTAATAGTAGTAGTAACATGGACACATGTATGGATAATAAATACGGTAGTAAATCCAATGATGGTGGTGTACTGCAAGATAATTCCACTCTATCGGGAAATAATCCATTACTATCTACAGAGAGTGAAGATAATGATACGACCCTACGTGATACAGTACCAGCACGTCGTAAAGTGCGTCATCTCATTGAAGATCTTTTTTCCACTCCACACGATGTAGAGATTGGAGATACCAACATTCCCCCACATGGACCCGCACCGCATGTGGAAGTACATGCTGTTCATCGTTGCACAGGTGCGGATGTACGACAGGCATTATGGGAACGTGAAGTAGATCCCGCCCTCATCCTCACAGAGCCTGTGCATTGTTATATTAAAAGCCACAGTCTCTATCATGATTACCGCAAGGATGCTTCTCCTAAAATGGCACTTGTAGCCTATCACAGTTTTAGTAGTAGTAGTGGTAGTGGAGGCGGCGGTGGTGGTGGTAGTCGTAGTAGTGGAGGAGGCGTTGTTGGCGGTGGAGGAGGATTTGGTGGTATTCGCCGGAGTAAAGTTGCCACTCTTTGTTTCTCTGCAGCCCTTGCATTTCCAGGTCTTATTCCTCGTTTGGAATTACACTATGATAAGAACAATCTACTAGCACGGGAATATTATGAAAGTCTGAGTGCTTTTCAAGCCTGCGGCGATGAGGAACCCGATCTCATTGTTCCCATTGGTGGAGATGGATATATGATGCATTGTATTCGTAATAACTGGAGTCGTTTTATTCCTTTTTTTGGTGTCAATGCGGGTCATGTTGGATATTTATTAAATGATGCCTCTACACTGAGTGAACTCTTCTCTGCCCCATTAAAACTACATACTACGACGATGCTTTACTGCCTTGCTGAGAAGGAAACGGAAACGGGAGAAAAACATCTTCTCTCTGAACTTGCCTTTAATGATGCATGGGTGGAACGCTCAAGTGGACAAACAGCTCTTATTCGTATTCTTGTAAATGGCGAGGAACGTATTCGACTTCTCCGCGGCGATGGGGTTCTCGTCGCTACTGCGGCCGGCAGTACGGCGTATTGTCGAGCTCTCGGCGCCTCTCCTGTTCCCGTTGGGGCTCCACTCATTCAAGTCGTGGGAAGTAATGTCGTCTCTCCTGCCCAGTGGCGGCCTACACATCTCAATCAAGAGGATCAAGTGGAGTTGGAGGTGTTGGATAGTGCACGAAGGCCGTGTAGATGTTTTGTGGATTCGGTGGATGTTGGGAATGTTACTCGGATGTTGGTACGCTCTAGTAGAGCAGCAGGGGTGGTGATTGCCTTTGCAAGTAGTTGTGATCTGCAGCAGAAATTATATCAAATGCAGTTCCCAACAGGAGCGTCATGATGATCCCCATAGTCCATGAAGTGTAGATATATATATATATATATATATATATATAGAAAAGGAAATGTTAAAGAGGGGTCAGTGAAGACACTATGATGATAGAGATTTCTGTATATATCTGTTTTCAATCCGTAAAACACTCGTTTTTTTTTATGATTATTCTCACTCAGATTATTATTATTATTATTATTATTATTATTATTATTATTAT